ATGCATGTATAACGTAGAAATTTTAACTATTCCATAAACAATTTGAAGATATTTATTTTCACAGTTTATTTACCAAGCTTACAAGCCTTCCGACAATGAAATCCTAGAGGCATACTTGATTGGTAAGCAATCATTTGTTACACACAAATGGGCATCGGAGAACAGCAATCAGAATAATTTCGAAGATAGTTAGTTTGAAATATTTGAAATATTTGTCATATATGTACTTTATACAAAAACAGTTTTTGAGTGTGTTCTAAGTACTTAAAGCACTTTTTCAAACTTTGTACAAGGACTAATTTTTACTTATATAGTCTCTTTCAATTAAAAACTGAATATTTTCTACACCTTTAAAGGACAGCTTGAACCTGACAATTTGGAAGGCATCTTCTCATTGACCAGTATTAAGCACTTGTTCGGTAGCAGTTGCATCGAAGAAACATTCATTTAAAAATAAGACATCTCTTCTAGTACCGAAAATGCAAAATACACTTTTTCAAAAATTGGTTCTTGAATTGAATAATTCTTCAAATCAATCAGTGTAAAATTAGTCATACAGAAAACTTATTTGTGTAAATTTTTCCGTGAATGATACCTTCAGAGAGAATTGTCTACTTAGTAAAAACCCTTGGCCAGTTACCTCCCCTGATTTACACACTGTCCTTAGTGTTTAGGGCACTTTGACAAAACTCTAAATCAAGTACACCCCAGATTTACCATCCTAGATTTGAGATTAAAACAATTTGTATTGGGCCGCTATTTCCAGTGATTTTCTTAATCATTACTGATTATATTGTTCAAACACCCTGATAAAACACGGACAACATTCAATTAAGTTTTCTCAGCCAGCCTAGTTACTCTATTCAAATCAGAACTGTGTACAAATTATTATCGTGGATAAAATTGTTACATAGAAAATCGATTTTTCTGGCAGTACTGTCACAAACAGTGATAATTCAAACACTACAAGATAAGTACACGTAATACCTTGGTTGTGCGGACACCCACAGAGGGGATTATATAAATGACACTTCAATGGCTAGTAGCTGGAATATGTGAGTTTCCAGGTTTCAAAACCATTTAAATAAAAAAAGGAAACACTTATTCACACTTTATACACTAACTTAAGAGTAAATATTTGCTACATGTAATACAGGTGCTATCAAAAGTTCTTGCATTTCAAACTTTCTTTGATAAAATATTGCATTTTAACAGATTGATTTGTTTATGGCAAGACAAAATAAATATTATTTTGATTAGTAAATGGAGTAAAAAATTAAAAACAGGAACAAATATTTGTAAAATTATGATATTCCTATTATAAGTGCCTTAACAAAAAAAAAAAAAAGCAAATGGACATTTATGTATTGCACATTCAACTGTAAACACATGAATTTGGATATGATCTCAATACATTGAAAAGTCAATTTCTGATTGATAAATATTGATAGATTTCAATAAAGCGTTTCTACTATTTTTAAATGTGTGTACATTTTCTAACACAACATTTGTACACATTGTCACCATATTCTCGAAAACTGTCTTTAAATACATATAGTAATGGTCTATAAACCTTAAGCTTCACTGAAGTTGACTAACAGTGGAAACAATCAATGTTAATCTAGACCATTTGACTGATTGCAATAGACATAATTCATGTTTTGATATCATTTCATACATATCTATACTCTATAACACGTATATTTACTGTATAACACGTATATTTACTGTATAACAGGTATATTTACTGTATAACACTTATATTTACTGTATAACACTTATATTTACTGCATAACTCTTATATTTACTGTATAACACTTATATTTACTGTATAACACCTATATTTACTGTATAACACTTATATTTACAGTATAACACTTATATTTACTGTATAACACCTACATTTACTGTATAACACTTATATTTACTGTATGGCACTTACATATTACAAAGGGTGTATTAAACATGAAAAACAACCTCTGCTAATTTGTTCCCTTCCTAACGAGAGTGAGTTGCTATTGACTGATGGCTTTGTATAAAAGTTTAAATACCAATAGTTCAGGAAATCATATGCATGTTTACTTGTTATGGGTCAGTATTTCTAATTGTTCAATTACAGTGAAATAAGACTATTCCAATAACTTATTACTACAGCCCAAGTACTGTAATACTCAACCCAGACCATATTTGACTCCTGTCCAAGCAAGCACACTTGAGAAACAAAGGAAAAGTGTGTCACTCTGGGACCCAACCACCACTGTCTACAGTATCTTAACAAGAAGCTAGGGAACTACCAAAGTCTCATTGTGGATAGAGTATATACTGTAGTTACTATGCTTGAACCTACCATGGCTTAGTTTTCTATGAAGAACGAAAACATATCATAATTCATTTATTTTTTTATTTTTTATTACATAGCCAAATGTTTTTGAAAAAACAGGAAGCATATCATTTGTTGGCCAATTAAAGTTAGATGGGGGTCTAAAAATAAATAACTTGAACATTCCTGTCATGAAGCCCAACAGTAAATGTTGAGTAGGGGTTGAGAAACACACACCACACATCAGTATAAGTCATGATGTATGGTCCAACCATAAGGTTGAAAAGGGGTTAAGAAACACATAACATGCATATTTACGAAGTGTGGCCTTAAAAAGCTAACATTAAAAGATAAGAGCCTTAACAACCTGCCACAGTTGACAAGAAATCGCTGTCATAAGACATCGAAGGAGACATATGTAGCCTGACTTTACAAACAATGTCTGGAGAGCGATGTAAATCTAAAGCTTGTTTGAGCCTGGGTAGAGACTTACATCCACACACAACATGTACAACACAGCTTATTCTCCGTGTGGCTTTGTGCTGCCGCCAGCTGACACTGTTACAGTCATCGGGGACACAATTGCATTTGTCACAGATGTTGGCAAGATACAAGTTTTTAAGGAATGCGCATGAAATATGTACGGGCTATCATTTCTCTTCATGTAGATGTGCAGTATGTTTAGTACGTGTTATTAAAAGCTATTAAATTAATATTCTGCAAATATCATTATAGCTATTTTTACAATATTTGTACAGGTATTGTTCATCGAAGTAAATATACCATTCGTCCATGTCAACCAAAAGGCTACATGTTATACACAGGTAAAAAACAGATGTAGAAACACTTCAGCTATCACCTCTGGTAAATAGATGGGTTGGGTCAAAGGAATGTCACATGTATTTACACCCTAGCTACAACAAAGACACCCTGGCTACACCAAATCACTCAGTATTTATTCTACAGACCTACAACAAATCACTCAGTATTTATTCTACAGACAGAAGACACCCTGGCTATACAACAAATCACTCAGTATTTATTCTACAGACAGAAGAAACCCTGGCTACAACAAATCACTCAGTATTTATTCTACAGACAGAAGAGCTCTACAACCCTCAGTGTCAAAAACCAGAAATATGGGCCAGGTTTTTAGAACTTTGTTACATTATGATGAATCCATACCTTTCTAGTATTATTTTTGCATTTAGATCCTAGGAAAGTAAACTAAATCACAAATTAACAATAAAGTTATACATTTTTCTCTAGTTAAACAAGAGGAGAGTCCTGATAAAATCTTGAAAATTTCCAAACCGATTTTCAAATGTCTTTTATGCCTATCCTTACAAATAGTTAGAATTTGAACTTATGTAAGTTATATCAAAAGATATATAGACAGAACAGGTAAAGCATTACTAATATTAAGACTTCATTATTCAACAACAAATTTTACGTGACTAGAACTTTATGCAATCTTTAAACAGATCTGGTTAACTTTTACATTGACTGTACACACAGACACACAAGTACATACACATTTTGAGAGGACAGACAAAGTAGGGAGATCCTTAAAGAGTTCAAAATAAATTCTGATACATTTAACAGCAAATACCACACTCAGGGATGGGAGGGGCTAGATGCTATAAAGGTATGTGTGTTTTACGGTTAGGGACGAATATACTGGATTTCTTTCTAATACATACATATTTGTGTATGGACATATACCAAGGGTTTGGGGTTTAAACTTAAGGGTATATGCTACCTTAGTCATAGAATGATCTCCCTTATAGTAGAACTCAACAACCATATCTCACGAAATTGTTAAACGTCCTATCTCCTAATGCCTCAATCCTGTCTCCCCAATTTACTGACTTGCCACAAGTAAGTATTGGCTGGTTCCCTTTGATGTGAATTTTTTTGAAAGTTTGGCAAACATTCTAATTTTCTTAAACTGATAAGTCAAAAACAGTACATGTAAACTGACTATGTCTAAAATACTTTATAAAATATGTCACCAAATCATTATTCATAATCAGTGTTTCGAAGGCCTCTTAGTTTGGAACTCTTTGAACAGGAGGTACATGTCAATATCATGAAGCATACATCCTTAAACACGGATTAGTATGTAAATCATACTTGTACAGTATAACCTGTCTAAACTGGCCCCTGTCTAATCTACATCCCTATCTATACCAGCTTATATATTTAATACAAACTATATTTATTTTACAACAATTATGAAACAAGTTTTTACAACTCATACTAATTACTCGTGTTGGCACGGATGTTAGTGCACAGGGGGTCTTAATGTGGGAGGAAACCGGAGACCCCATTGTATTTGATCCCTGTATTTCCTATATTAAATTCCTGTATGCTAACCTTGTCTAATACAGACCCTGTTTACTCTGGTCTGTTCTGACATGAGGGCTACACTTCTAAGTATATAATCATCATCACTTCCCCCTACCGGGATCTCTCTTTTTTAGTAATGAATCAATCTAACAAAAACTCCAAATTTTCCCTAGGGTTAAAGTTGATTGTAATTAAACGTTACATGTGTACAGGTTTGGGTTGTTCATGTTTTACGTCCTTTTAACAGATATGGTCATTTGGTGGTGGAGGAAAGCCGGAGTTAACCGGAGAAAAACCACCGACCTATGGCCAGTACCTGGCGACTGCCCCACGTAGGTCTTGAACCCGCGACCCTGTGGTGGAGGGCTAGTGGTACCAGAATGGCAGACGCCTTAACCACCGCGGCCCCACTTACATGTGTACTGTGAGACATGTATGACTGCACCAAGTGTAATTCAAATCTTCCATATTTAAAAAAATAATAATTAAGGTTTATCCTAAAATGATCATACTTTTTTTATACTTAAGTAGAATTTGAGCCTTCCAGCTCCCCAGATCACCACCATGCCAGCTTACACACAAGATTACAATCTCCATTACCTTGAAACTTTCAGTTCAATCAGTTTCATTCAACATTTTTTTATAAAGATGATAAGGATCTAATATCAGAAATTAACAAATGTCCCAAGGAAAGTTAACACAAACTAAATATGTTTCTTAAACGACCCACAAGGACAAACAGTATTTAGGGACATTTCTTTGAACACAGATGTAGAATGATCCTTGGGTAGATTTTATACTTTGTGATGTAATAGCAAATCCTGTTCTTTTTTGTTAATCTTGTGGTTCAAATGTGGTCCTTTGATGTTCTTAATTAACAGTCAGCACAGCCACAGTACTGTTATGTAGGTATCCAGTACTTAACCACAGTGGAGATACAGTGATTATACCTCAATACGAAGTGGTCAGACAATTAGGGCAGATTTTATTACCTATAATAAACTCACCGTAATGTCTATTTAAGTACATGTACCTACTCACAATCTATTAGTATCAAGATCATAATTGTGAAAACTTAATCATGAGAATGTGTAGTTGTAAAATCCTTTTAACGTACATGTTTGTATTCAGATGCCTGGTACCGTACCGTACTTCACACATTTTTTATACATAAAATCTGAAACATTTGGGAAACATTTCATCAAGACTATGAAAACATAAATTATAGATAAATATTTATGCACTGCACCAACAATTTCACTTTATCAGATAAAGCTTACAGACATATATCATAAGCGAGTATAACGTATTCATTTAAATATTTAATATATAGAGATAAACGTATTCTTCATCAATAAATTTAAACAGCAACTAAAAAGTCACTTCAATAGTTGATGATGCTGAAGCAAAAAATATCTATAATAGTATACATAAACATTTATTGCAAAACATTTTAACAGATCTATCCTGACAATATCCTTTGATAGATTGTGTTTATAATATAAATTATAATGATTTGTAATCTATATAACTGTTTTTTATTGATAATACTTAAATATCCATATAGAATGGTAACTGACTATCATATTAATTTGGATTAGGAAGTCTTATTTGTTGAGGCTTGGCCTAGATGAGATACAATCTCCACAACCAGATATTAAATATCATATCTTATCAGAAAAAGCCCATAACAAATTGTCATGTCACTGGACCTGCAAGAGTCTATGATTTTATTTGGAATCATGTTGACACAACGCTGTCGTGATAGGACACCTTAATTTCAAAAGAATGGATGTCAATCTTGTAAGGCGATTCTATATGGGATATGTTATGTTAACAGTGACACACACGAACCAATGAGATGACCAGACCCTAAGCAGAGGTATATTAATAAGCAATGAATGTTTTAGTCAAATTTGTCTTATGGTGTACAACATGCATTAATATTGCTGACAAATTTCATTAAGCCTAGCAGAACCTTTTGTTTATAATGACAATTTGTCAGCAAAAGTACAGCTTGTAATAGGATCATAACACAGTTTGTTCTACTGTATACATTTACATTTTGAAATGATACTTTTGCTATATTTAGGTATTTCACGCTCCTGACGTCAATTCTCTAAGTTCTTGGACCAGTAAAGTCAGTATTGTCACAGTCAGATCGGCAACTTCACCTTACCAGATAGTGTAAATGCGTCACGATACGTATTGTATTCTCTCTACGCATTGCAATAGGAGGATGCAGAGGAAATGTGAATATCATAATTTACCGTGACCTTTAGTGATTTGTGACCCTAAATGAGGAGATAATAGTCATGAGTAAAACAATGACATCTGAGTTCAACACATGGATACAAAATATGTCTACAAAATTAAGTGATAATATAATCTATTTTCACCTGTTCTAAATATTGATTAACGTAATTATATACAACTCAGTATACATACAGAGCTATAATTTGAGTGGCTGATGGCTGAAATGACCTATGGATCATTTGAAAATAAAGAAATACAACAATATGATGTACTTCTATTATGATACGCAAAATTACAACTTCTTTTAAGTGCACCCAATTTTTAAGCACTCAATATATATACTAATGTGTTAACAGGAAACTTGTGTCCCAGTAATAGTGAGTCATAATTATAACAATATGATAAACAGGTTTAGAGCAGACTTCCTTCAGGGAAGTAACAAAATATACAAATGTTGGTAAAAAATAAACATTGTAGACCATAATTGAAAACTCAGCTTCCTTGTTCTCTCGTTAAAAAAACAAGTTCTTATGAAGTGTAAGAAACACTTGAGCTGAAATTGTTTGTCGAGATGACCATCCCTATCAATACACGTTCTGCTTTAGATTTGTACATTTCAAACGATCTGAACCAACATTGTCATAATCAACAAAAAGTTTGGTGAACTAAATTAGGAAGACATTGGTAAAGACTGACCACAAAACTACAATGCCATTATTGTAAAATGTTCACGAGACAAAACATCGGCTGAAAAGTCAACTCCCCCCACCCTAAAATAAAAAAAAAAGTTTTATAGATGTGGGTGGGGGGAATGAATAGGGAAATGTGTTAAAAACTGGTTAAAAATTGTATCTACAAGTAATCTAATGGATAAGAGTAATCAATACATTCAACAAGTAACAAGATAGATAGGAGTGGAATCCACAAAATAAGAGGTCTATCTTCACAATAAAAATTAATTGTTGGAATCTGATGCATTGGGATAGTAAGATTTAATTAAATAGCTCCCCCCCCCCAAGTATGCCAATAGTGGTTTCCAGGATATGCTGTAGTGCCAGAGTTAAAGTTGCCTACCGTTGTTTGTTTGTTTGAGTGGTTTTACGTCCGCTTCACTACCGAGTAGTTCAGTTATCCAGTAGACAGAAGAAAAAAAACTATACTCCAAAGGATAACTTAAAATATCCTCCCCCACCTTCTGCAAACATCCACATTTCAAAATGTGCGTGTAACAGAAAAAGGAAACTATTTATGTCTTAATCACATATCCCTAACACACACCTATATCTGAAAGACCAGTCATTCAGAAAAAAATAATGTCTTTGAAAGGGACGGATTCACATTTATAAACATTAGGAAAATGTTACAAAAACAATTATTAAGGTATGATTTTTGAAATAAAACAAAAGACTTTTGCCTGTGATAACAAATTTCTGGTTGGTAGTCAGCAGACCTGACACAAGATTGCAGCAGAGTTTGAACATACAGAAATAATAGCATACAATCAGAAATAAACCTTGCTGAAATCCAATATGCTCAAATTTACCACTTATCTTACCTAGTAATAGGAACCAGGAGCTAACAATAGTCTCAAGTGTCGGAACTGTTTTAATTTTTTGGCTCACTATTTAAAACAAAATTGATTCATTATAAACATACCATGGAAAGGACAGTCTGTGGATATACCTGTCCAATAATCTTGTTTTGTTTTTTTGGTTGGAATTTTTTATTTCCTCAAAAATATTTGAGTTTAATGATATTGTTTTATAGTAACACTACACAGGAAAAAGGTGTGTGCGTAGCAGATACAGGACATACTACTAAACATCACATTAATTTGTGAGCTTTCCTTAATCAAATCACAAGAAGATTGTAAAGTTTAAGCACAAAAAATTCTGTCAACAACTATGGGATCTGTATGTCAGCTAAACATACACAATTACACAAGAGGGTTGTTATGGCTACCAAGTTCTAAACTGGATGACAAATATGGGACTAGTTGTCTGGACGACATTGTGGTGGTAAACAAAGGGCAATAACTCTGTCAAAAAAAACCTGTACACATGCAAATTGAATGGAAAGTAAGGGTAGTCTGGACTAGATTATTTCTATGGGCAGACAGACAAGCTGATTCTAGATATCCCCAGGAACCTTATTGCAGAGTGTATCAAAGTAAATGTATGGCACAATATTGTTTTGGTGTCTTAAGCTGCAAAATGATACAGTAGGTTTTAGTGATTTAGAATTTCTTCAATCCTCGTCACTAAACTATAGATTTACTCAACGAAGTGGGAAAAAATAACTTAACACATGGACAGTCACTCGTGATATAATCTCAATAATAATATCTCACGACAATGAATTTGACAACCCTGTTATACAGTTTTATCCAGAATTTGTTTAGACATCTTAAATGATGAAAACATATTTGATTATTATAAGTAATCAGATCTGATATGTTTGAATAGACATAGATATGAAAAAATACATTGAAAGGCACATGCTGATTGCATAACAGAAATTTGGTCCCGTAAATTGCACAATGTTTTTTTTTTCCATTTCTAGAAAAGACCTCAAATTTCATCACAGCACACATTAAATAATGAAATTGGAAAAAAATAATGTCAATATTTATAGATTTAAAAAATTCTGCACACAATAAATGGTCATTTTACTTGCTGCTCCCGCCTGCATGGTCCAAGTTGTAAATCATGTGTCTGAGGTCTGTATATCAGCTAGCATTCATCATAAGTCCCAGGAACTGAGCCAGCGGAGCCCATGCATCTGACTTCCCTCCTCATTGGCCATTGGACCAAACATACCGTAAACCATGGGATGGAACAGGTAGAAACTGAAACAAGATGGTGACTCGGATACTACATTGCGGTTTATATTGTACTTTTATAGCAATACTAGATTAATAATGAAAAAAAATTACACAAACGTTATTTAAATAAATCTTAATTTGTAACAAGTCATGATTGAACCAATCTAAAAGTTCCCTTTTTTCCCCATTTCAATTCCTGCAACAACACATCACAAAAAAACATGGGATTCCAGGTTATGAATGTGCTAAATATGTTAACAGGGGTCAAACAGCATTATATTTTCATAGACTTTGAATAATTCAAATTAACTGCCGTATAATCTAATAAAACGGTGATACATGTATTGTAAACTGATCATGAGAAAAACACCAACACACCAGGACAGAGAATAAAAGGTTGGTATCATCAAGCACAAACAACGTAACAATGGTTTTTATTTCTAAGCCTACAACCACTCAATTTTGAAAAAAACCCACTGATTCCATAAACGACATTAACCGGGGTAACCAAAATGATGTCACAATTTAATATCACTGGTAATTTTAAATGACATTTTCCTGATTTTTTTTAATACAGATGAAGGAAATAGTATATTTTTTCATATGTTGTACATCAGTTTTGCAGGGAGATAACTATTTAGAAAAAGAAACCTAACTATATTCATGATACATTAGCAGATATGAAACTTACAGTGACAGACAGGTATTTCACCTGATTTTCTATATTACTGCTCATCTTTGAAAGAACTCAAGTGCCATTTTCATAATTTCACTTGTTTACTGCTTCCAATTTCATGATAAAAGTAAAATCTTGAATGAAATATAATAAAAAGCTATGTGAACTTAAGGACACGTGATTTAGCTCACCTGTAGACAATTGAGGACAGGATGAGGCCGAAACATGTGTGGAAGACAGTGATGGTGAGGTTATCTGGTACAGACACACAGATCAAGGTGATGAGGTAGTCTAATGTCACACCTGTAAGATAAGGTACACAATTACTGAAGACGGTGATGGTGAGGTTATCTGGTACAGACACACAGATCAAGGTGATGAGGTAGTCTAATGTCACACCTGTAAGATAAGGTACACAATTACTGAAGACGGTGATGGTGAGGTTATCTGGTACAGACACACAGATCAAGGTGATGAGGTAGTCTAATGTCACACCTGTAAGATAAGGTACACAATTACTGAAGACGGTGATGGTGAGGTTATCTGGTACAGACACACAGATCAAGGTGATGAGGTAGTCTAATGTCACACCTGTAAGATAAGGTACACAATTACTGAAGACGGTGATGGTGAGGTTATCTGGTACAGACACACAGATCAAGGTGATGAGGTAGTCTAATGTCACACCTGTAAGATAAGGTACACAATTACTGAAGACGGTGATGGTGAGGTTATCTGGTACAGACACACAGATCAAGGTGATGAGGTAGTCTAATGTCACACCTGTAAGATAAAGTACACAATATACAACTCAAATGTTCTGTATATATACTTCAAACAACTGAAGAAAAGGGATATCCAGCAGTTGTCTACTGGTCATTCAAGGTCATTCATGTGGACAAACTTGGCAGTCCTTCATCCCAGCATGCTACAGGCCCAATATCAGTTCCCTGGGCCTTTTGGTTATTGAGAAGAAGTCGTTTGAAGATTTCAAGACAATTGACCCCTGTGACCTTGAAAGTGGGTCAAGGTCATTCATCTGAACAAACTTGGTAGCCCTTCATCCCAGCATGCTACAGGCCCAATATCAGTACCATGGGCCTTTTGGTTATTGAGAAGAAGTTGTTTAAAGTCAAAGATTGACGCCGGACAACAGACGGACGGACGACGCACCACGGCATAAAAACAGTGGGAGCTCACATAGATATCCCCCAACCCCAGAAATCCTGATTCGCTCATGACCTTTGACCCTGTAACCTCGACCGATGACCATGACTTCAATGTCTCTAAGGAGATATATGTAGAATCAAGCTACTTCAATATCCCTACGCTCAGTTCTCAACTGCATCCTGTTTGACCATATAACTAATACTTATCCATTGTTCACTATGTTAAACTGTATCACCACAGTGTTAGTAGACTTACCAGTCATCATGGCTGAGAAGAGGAGGGCTGGGAAGTAGTGGTGGAAGTACAGGACGCGGGTCATCGGCCAGAAAGGGAGATAATGCAGAGCCCAGCCCATCAGCAGCCACCAACACGCCCCAAATGTCTTCTCTCTGTACTCTGGAAATGAAACGTTTCCCCAAACATTGAATCGAGTACAGATAGTTTCCATCAGGTAAGTTTCATGAGTTAGCTTTACTTGATTGGTAGTTTATCAATATTCTACAATGATTTCAAATCAATTGAGGTAAGCAATAAAATACTACATTGTGATAATACAAATTGTATGTCAATAACAAAATGTTTAATGAACTTATAACTAAATTTATTATAAAACATACTTATTTCTCAAAACTTTTATAAAACTTTTCCTGTTGTTACCAAGAACTTTGTCGGGTAGGTAGCTTGTATTTTTAAGTTTCGTGGATGAACTGTATAAATATAGTGTACCTGTCCAGACCTTGGTGTATTGCACACCTCTCTGTATCCTGATAGCAGACACCAGGTACACCACAAAGAATGCTAACATCACCCCCAGACAGCCCCAGAATATCACCGGGTTCCCTAGCAGGTAGATACGGTGATTCTTCCCAGAGAAAATCTGGCCCTGATAAACGGACACCGAAAAAAGTTAAAGTTACAGGTAGACTTTCTTCTGATCTAATGAAGAGGATAAGCTGTACGTGTTTGTAAGGTCCTAGCTAGGTAGGACATTATAATTATCAAAATACATATATAGAAATTTCAATTCCATAATATTGGATATGAAGATATTTTAAATAGATTTCAAAATTAACCTTTTTTTTCTCAAATCCTGTCAGACATCAATTTCAAGAGGGTGAGTTAATTTTAGTGTTTTTTTTTATCAAGAATGTTTCTTTCTTTCAGATGATCTTTTAACTCTCACAGAACATTCACTTACTTTAAAGTCTATAGGCCACTGCCAAGGCTGTGAGCTGATTTCTCCTTCCTTCGGTTTCAGGTTGCTGTTTCCCTTTTGGTAAAATAACACACATTGAAGTAATACCCCTCTTACTCTCTTTATGTTTCATTTATCAAACTGTGATATCAAGGAAAATTAACTGAGCCTTAACTTTACAATCAACTAATTAAAGATCATCAAAACTTGGTTGTATTTAGCAGGTAATATTAATGATATATGAGTCATTAAAATCTTCTATATCTAACTGACATGTAGATGGTGTGGTTTAGATTTAGACAGGGAAATGTCAACTGAAAAGCAAAAGTGTTTGGTGATTTTTTGAGATTTTGCCATATATCCTAAAATCTTAACCACATTATGTCTTGTAACAGACAAAATTCAATTATTTAAACGTGTGACATTATAATATTTTTAAATTTAACACAGGCAGATTAACCATCTAACAATATCGGCTCCTTTTACTGACTTTGTTTCAGATTGGATCGTATTCCAAAAGGAAAAAAAAGTCACCATAGAAAGGAGGAAGAGCGTTGTTGACACAAAATTCTATCAAGAAAAAAATATTTTTTAAATTAGTAACATTTTTCCCCCTTCGGTTTTGTTTTTACGTCCAGTTCTTACCTGTGTCATCACAGCATGGCTCTCTATAAACTTCTCCCAGAAATTGGGGGAGTACAACTCAAAACTGGAATTAGGCACTACAATATACAAATACCTGTGTATCAAAATTATACACAACCAACCTCTACCAGCCCTTATTTTTTGTACCTTTTGTTTTATATAAAGAATAAGACAATAATGTTTTTTTTTCTGATAATGATTAAGTATATAATTTCTAGTAATTTCCAAAAACGGTCTCTTTTCCCCCCTCAAATTCCCACTTTTTCATACAAAGAATTTACTCAGGACTACATGAAGTTTACAGTTTCTTTCAGAAGAAGTCATGATCTAAAACTGGAAGTGGTTTTAACAACTGTTACCGTGACATGAGTATATTTAGCCTTTAATTTGAGCCAGTAAGTTAGAGTGGTATAGTAACAGGTAGTTTGACCGATGTCTGGAGTAATCTAAGGGAGATAACTTACTCCTGGAATCTTCCACTTCCTCCACACTATAAAGGTTCTTGGTGTCCTTCAGGTTAGGGTTACAAGTTGCCTCCAACTGATCCCAGCCCCTACATCATAACAAAGTCAACTACAGTCATGGTACAATTAGGTATAGGCAAAGGTCAATCAGTTACCTTAACTACAACACTGACTGGAAAATGGGATACCAGATAATAGTGGTGGCTTGATGGATAAAACAGCTCACATAAATATACCCTCTAGATCTGCCCCCCCCCCAAAAAGAGAAGTTATTGTGACCTTGACCTCTTTAAACTTTATTGATGATCACCAAAAATTGATTTTACTATGCTTTGGTGAATATATGAACAATAACCTACTAGAATATTTGTTAAGATATCTTGTAAACAAGCTTTTTGATTCAAATGTGGTCAACTGTGACCTTTGACCGTTTAACCCTGGCAAATGACAATCAAAACCTAATCAGGTTTATCATAATATGGTGTAATGAACAAAATTTAATTGGAAGACATCTTGTTTTAACTTTGGATAAATAGTGGGATCTTCGAGTTATTTAGAAACAATTTTATTTTCAGGATTTTTGCGATAAAGGCAATTTACAACTTCAATATGAGTGAATCTGATCGGCGACCAACTAAGACCTACCAATAATGTAATTGCAAACTTGTGAATTTGTCTATTTGTATGTACACACACTACACTGTTCAAATCTACGCTGTGTAGCTGGTGTGTAGCATCAATCAAATTCTAAAATTATTAAAACTTTCATTTTCTACAATTCTAAAAAGATTTTTTTATAACTTGACTTTTACTCATTTTGCATAGATCAGGTAAAAAGAGATGAACTGTCTTTAATGACATCCATAAACAATATCTTAATACAATGATGTCTAAAAATAAGAAATATGACCTTTTGCCATCTTATAATATATAATCTTTAGTACATTGTATAAGGGAAAGTATGAAAGGGGCTAAATGAGATTATGTGATGTTTAAAATCAATACAATGATATTTAAGTTCACATACCACTTGGGTAGTTTCTTATCTCCAGAACACACGGCACAGCGTACATAGTAGTGTATCAAGCGGAACTTTGATCTGGCTGTCTGTATGGGGGTTCCGATGGGCATACCAGGAGCGTCTATCATCCAAATGTCGTTAGAATCTCCTGTCCCATTCTGTAATAACACAATGATTCAAAGACATATACAGAATATTGACTTTGTATGACAGCAAAAATTCAAATTTGATGAATAAACACAGGTTTAAAAAATATGGAAGATAAGATTTGGTGCTGTCAAGATAGTTTTAAAAAAAAATATCAAAAAAAATCATACAAACCACAACTTTGTCTAGTTCATATCAAATTGTAATAAGTGATATTATAGATTTTATTTGAACATAAAAAAATGGAATTTCACAAGACATTGCCTGTAAACAGTATTTGTTTATTTGATTGTTGTAACGAGAATGAATGAAGGAGGAATTTGCAGCCAATTAACATTGTGAAAGTCAATTTTAAATAATACTATTTTAATAAATTACAATCCAACTTGAGTTACTGTGTTTAGCTAACAATTGGAGTACACCTATAGCGGAGGATATCTTGACCTACCTCTCCATACGCCGACAACTGGAAGTGATGCTTGGTTAACGGAGCAGGTTCCCTGTGACTGTGAAGATTCCTTCTTGTTCTGAAACAGGAAACAACACACCTTGCTATTTACAAAAACTATCTTCAAATGAAATGAAAGTTTAAATATCGTCAAACAGCTTCAATCAAATTAAATTTGGATTTTTATTTAAACTTGCGTGAAGAACAAGAAAACTTGATTGTCTTTCTTGCTGTTCTTCTCTCTGCATGATTGTAAGTTGCAAGATTCTATTTTCGGCGTCTAGGTGTTTTAAATGTATTTATATGTCTTGTTGCCAAATTTTTGAATGAGTTTCAAGACATGCTCCGACATGAGATCAGTGCAAACAGCATATAATTAGCTCACTACAGAACAGACTACCTTACCCACAAAAGTTTTATGTTAGAACTATCAATACTGTATATGGAGTGGGGAGGAAGGGGGTGATGAGGAGGCACTTGTTTGTGACCCCTACTGATGACCAAAGAAATATTTACTTTGGACACTAGCACTCATGCCATCTAAATCAGTTCCTCACTGCTGCCATCCGGGGGGGATCCCCTAGTATCACCCCTTCTACATTAGTTTTTTTTATCTAGTAGGGACCTACCCAACATGTTCCAGTCTGATGAGGTCACCACTATGCAGGATCTGTGGCTTCTCCACTTTCTCTAGGTCATGGTCTGACGGTTTTACCAACCATTTGTTGTTCTCATCCTTGTGGGTATATGAGGTGATCTGAAAATTTGAACACAAATCTTGACAATTTTTTTTAGTGAAAATTTATTTTAATCCATCATTTAATTTGTTATATCAAAATTTCTTGCATTTAAATAGAAATGTGTATTAAGAGAATTCCTATTTGGGGCCAAGCAATTCCTCAAATTTTAGATGATTCATATGAGTCAGGTCCATAAGGGACCAAAGACTTGTTAATATGAAACTTATAGAAATTATTGGAGGCACGGTAGTCTAGTGGTATGCCGCCGGGCTCGTGACCAAAGGGTTGCGGGTTCGAGTCACGGCACAGCACTGTGTTGTATCTTTGAACAAGATACTTTACTCCGCTTGTTCCAGTCTTCTCAGCTGTAAATGAATATGTGGTTGTGCAGTGCTAAAATGGTTGAATGCTAGCTGTGAGCACCGAAATGGCAGCACCAGCTGTATGCAGGGAGTTGAGAAAGATATTGGCTGGTCGCAAAGGCACTATAACCACGGATAGTAATATGTGAACAGCTTTGAGACGACCTACA